TTGGCTAAAGTTTGATCTTTGTTGTTTTGAAATCCATGAAAGTCTTAATTGTATTTTATCGCTACTCCACTAAAAAAAGGTACAAAATTACCATTCCCATGAGAAAGGTGCATTTGTCTGTTGATTTCAATTTCAATTAGATAAATCTATTTTTACCACTCATCTCAAGGAATATTTATTCACAAATTTCTCTCTCTTATGATTGCGCTTCCTTACCTCTTAAACCCACAACATAACTCTACTCCAGACCATACTCCTACACAGATCAAAAAAAGCTTCTACTCAATATTATAATTACTTCAAGGGAAGGCATCTCAACACACAAGTCCATCAATTGAAACAATACATGGCATTGAACTCGTTGAAAGAAGCATTTAGCTGCAAATAAGGACTTAAATGAACACCCTTGCATTTTTTTAACCAATAATAAATCTTTTCTCATCACCAATCCCTCCTTATTAGCTTTCCATATTATTTCTATCACTAAAATCATGTATAAGTCGCTTAATAATGGAGAATTGAAATAATGCTATTGATAGAAAAAATAAAGCCTTCCACATAGAATAAATGGCATTGTCATAAGAAAGAAATTTTACCTTAAGTATAAATGAGAATAGTTAATTGGAAAGCTAAAGCTTGATATAACAAAATACTACACTCAAATATATGAGATTAATTATCTTGAAGCTTTTGCTCTTGTGCTAAAATAAATATTGTTGCTTTTTTATCAATTGGTAGCAAAAAAAACTAAAAAATACAACAATTCACGTGACGAATGTCTCCTTGCATGGTGATCTGGACATAAAACTATATATGGAAGTCCCATCAAGGTTTGGCTTAGACCAAACAAATTATATAAACAAGAATGCATTATATGGATTGAATCAATTCTAATGACATGGCTTGGGAGTTTCCAGATAATGCTCAACATGTGATGCACATAGTCAAGACAATCAATATATTATAAAACACGCAGCATTAGTGGGGGAGCCCCCATTAGTAATTTATGTCAACAACATTACAATAAGAGTATATTGAAGGGTGAACCTTAAGAAAAGTCTGCTTAAAAATTTTAAATTCAATGAATTAGCTAAATTAAAATATTTCATAACATTAAGAATTAACCACTCTTGACTTGGATTTATATCATAAATTGAAAGCATAGTAGACCTATTGAAAGAACAATGAATTGGAAAAAAGTTTGCTAGAGGCCATTGATTTAATCATAACTTAAAAGAATACTCCAAAAAATATTCCACAGAAAAATCTCCTATCGAAGATTCTCTACTTATCACATACTAGACTAACATTGCCTATGTTTAGTGTGATAAGTCAGCTTGTGCACATATTAAAGAATCACACCTTAGGCTTGCACATTGAATTTTACAATATCTAAAAAACCCATATAAAGAATTTTTTAAAAGAGTATAATACATTTAAGCATAAATATGAATTATGCAGATTATGACCGATTTTAAATTTAAGTACTAGGAATCTGCAAATTATCATGGCTAAAATTATGCTAGAAGATTTAAAGTTAAATTGGAAATTCCGAGTTTATTGATAACAGTCACATCAATACGCATAACCCCGTACAACATGAAAGATAAAACATAATGAAGTAGATAGGCATTTATAAAGGAGAAGCTTGACAATAGTCTAATATTGTGCTACTTTCATCATCTAATAGCCACTTGTAGGCGTTTTTCACTATGAGAACATATTATCAAAATTCTATATGCAAGTTTAGAATAGATAACTGATAGGACATCTTCATCGAATTTCCACATGTACCATCAGGAGATGCCGGAGATCACGGCCACGATCATGACTTATTTGTCATTTTATGTAGTAGTTCATATTATATTTTATGTTTTTCCGCTTTTCCCTTGTGGGATTTAGTCGCTATTGTAGCCCAAGGGGCATTTTAGTCTTTTATTTTCTTGTCATTTGTGGCCTTATATATGGCCCTTTCTTATGAAAAGAAGTTTTGGATGAATGAAATTTTGACATTCTTGTTCTCTTTGTGAGTGTAAACTCCACGATCTCTTAGTGATTCGTAGGAGAAGCTAGATCTCTTGTGAGTCTGGTTCTTTCTTGCTCTTACTATTTTCTTATTTCTCTTGATCACTTCGTTGTCATGGAGATTCGGTTGAATTTGTGGGAAATTGGAATCCCTCTTTGAATCCGTAAATTTTCCCTACCTCTTCCCTCCCTCAACTCATTGCCGCCGCCCCCATCTGGCCGCCAACTGCCCGCCGGCTAGATCCCACCTCCGGCCAAGAGCCAGAGCCGGCCGCCATCCTTAGCAGCCATCCAGGCTTGCGCCGACCCCTCCCATGTTCCAGGATTCAAATTCAAATTCTCCTTGAATCCTTTACTACTTCCTAAACTAATTCCTTAATTTTGAGCCCTCATATTAATTAGATTTAATTGAATTTGAAATTCAATTAATCCTAATTAATAGTCCTCTTTTAGGAACACCCCTTTTATCAAAATCTGAATATTTCAGACTTTTCTTCAATTTCTTGTTATCATTGGGCCCATCTGTTAATTTATTTCTCTTCTCCCTCTATGCTGGCCGCCCCCCTCTTTGCTTTTCTTCTCTCCCAATTATATCAATGCCTCCATTAACTCCCTAAGCCCTATTAACTGTCGCCCCTCCATTGAAATAATTTGAATTTTCAAATTATATTTCCCATCCCACTTTCTCTCCACTAGATCATAGTTCAGAAAATCTGAAATATTTTCTGAAGTTTTTTTTTCTCTA